TTTCCAGAAAGGAAAATGCTGTTCTTGCCTATAGGCCTAATGCACTTTTACTTTAGCTGCTTGACAGTCTAGTGTTTTATCCCACTTCAGATGGAACAGAAAGGACTCTGCTGCTGTGTATGCACCTAGGATGTTGGTTACAGGAGATGAATTTCAATATGCATACGTTTGTGATGGCTGCTTGAACTGTTAGATATGGAAAGCCTTTTCCACCGCACAGAAGACTTTTTGATGGATTATTTGGGGGACCCTCCTTGTTCCTGTTGGAGTTGTTCAACCTGTCTGTGATATGCACAGCACCAGTGACCCTTGTCATGGCTCACAAGTGACATTAAGGATTGATTTTACATATTAAGCTGTCTTTAGTGCTGTTGGTAACTGTAAAGATAAACTAGCATTTTGTACTGAGTTTTCTATCAGTGGGTCACAGTTTTGAATGTGAGTACAGAGGTGTAGGTGATTTGATGGGAAGCATCTGGTCATCTGGATTCACAGATGCCACATAATACACCTTCTTAGATGGTTATCTCCCTGCTCTACCTCTCACCTGACCTTTACAACAAGTGGATAGCTTATTGTCCTTTGGCTATTTTGAGACAGTGTATTTGGCATGATAATTGTGTATTTAGACTCAAAACTTGTTTTTTTGTTCATGGATGGCCATGATGCAGCGGGTTTCCACTGCTTCCTAATACGCAGCTCAGAAACATCACCCTCTTCCTCACTTGTAATGAAGGAAAAAACTTGGTTGTCTCCTTTCATGTGGTAACTGCTTTGTGCTGCTTCTGCTCTTGTTGACCCAATTAATTCAGACTTCCAGATATGTAAAGGCAATATGTTTTAAAGCACCCTGTTGGCAAAGTAGAGAAGTGCTCTGTGTTTGCTGAAGAACTCTATGGCACTAAATAAGTATGGAGGGTTTTGTCTTTTGTACTTTTAGTCCTGTTTTCAGTATGTAATCTGATACTTTTCATGTTACACTTACTGTGTCCATAGATGCTAATTTCTTACTGAATTTAAGTGAAGCTGTGTTTTTCTCATTTGCGTGAGAGATTTTTTTACCACTAACTGGAAACAGCTGGTAGCCATTTCTACGTCCATATCATTTCAAATAAAGGTTGACTTCCTTGGTTTTGTGTGAAGGAATATGGTATGCCCTTTGCAAAGCTTCTTCCTGAAGTTCCCAAGCTCTGCAGGTTTCGGTGTCTTCAGTTGCTCACTAGCTTGTTGAGCTGATGACTTTTTGCAAAATTCCCATGAACATGTGTTTGCCCTGTGGAGCTTTGCAATTTCATGAGTTTGTTGTTTCTTTGTGTTGCCCTATGGCATGCAGGAGTGTTTTTTCACTTGTCCCTTTCTTATTTACTGCTGCTTGTCCCGGACGCTCTTTTCCTAAGAATGTCTTGTCAAAGGGCCTTCATAAATACTCTGCGACCCTTGGGAGCAAGAGGAACAATTTGGCATTCAAATACTTAATATATGTAAGTCAGTTAAAGTTTTACAGATTGATCTGTTCATGCTCCTTTTAAAATTCTAGTTGTTTGCATTCTTTACTAAAAAGCAAGTGACACTGCTTTCAAAACCTTCCAAAAACCTAATGTATCCTGGAAGTAATCACACAGTTATCCCTCTTTGTACTGTGCAAAGCTGTTGGAGTAGGACAGGGAGGGGATAGTGGAATCGTGTTGCATTGCTGGCCGTGGGAACAAGTGCCTGTTTGCCTAGGGTCATTGTTAATTATTTGTAACTAAAACAAGCCCGGAATCACTGATCACTGTTTCTCCTACAGTATTGAAAAAGCTGTTTCTGTTCCATGAGACAGCCTTTCCAGGGAATTAATTGCCAGATACGTTTCTCAGACCTATGAAGCTGGGTTTGGGACTTGTGTTTTTGATGCCAAAGCTACCCACACCCACTTGAAGATAAATTCCTGATGGTAGTATGGGTTGTGGTGGAACAGTACAAATCTGACTTGGATCACTTAATTACTTCATTGTCTTACTTCTTTGGAATATCCAGACAATGGATCTGTTTTAATTTTCACAGAGATGTCTGACCTCTATGCTGTCTGCTACAAGTGTGGTAATAATAATAAGAGCTGACTATTTCCAAACCTCTGTGTTCTTGGAAGTGGTGGTGAAATAGTTCTAATGCAGATAGTAAAGGATCCGTAGGTTTCAGTCTTCAATTCAGTGTGTGCGGTTCTCTCGCTTGTGTTTTTGTATATGTGAGGCTTTAACAGTTCGGAAAAAAAAGGTTTCATTATTCAGGATCTTCTGACACTTTGATATCTTGACTTCAGAGGAAGGTATCAAGGTACATCTAATTAAGTATGCTACAGTGTGGTCTAACTGAACTATTGACTTAATTGTAAAACTTGTGAGAGAGACTGCAGAAAGGTCAAAGCTGGAGAAAAAAAACTTACTTTAAGTAACGCTTATACGGGTAAAATGACAATAATTAAATTATTTTGCTTGCTAACTTTTTTCACACAAGCTGTTGGAAGACATTTCTTCATTTATTCAGTTGCTCTTCACGTAGATGCTGCATTCTCCATGAAAAACGTATTTGCTTTCTATTTGGGAGTTCCTTATTGTGTCCCGGAAAAAATGCAGTACATACAAAACATTGCAAGTGCCTTTGTAACTAGAATAATTCTTGTGTGTGGTTCACTCGGCACGTGTTAATTGTGGTGGAGGGTATGTGGTACAAACCAGCAATTCAGATGCATATGTGCTTTTAGATGATGAAAGGTTGACATGTCTATTTTTTTCTGCATGACACATGGCTGTATTCTCGTAGCTGTTGCAAAGTAGCCAGCAAACAGAAATTCACGTGGAAGCTTAATCTGTGGCAGGATGTGACATGTTTTGAACTCCTGTTAAGGAGGCTCAGGCTCTTGACTGTTTGAGTCCCTCCTTTGTATGGCCAAGTATTTGTACTTCTTGTACAGAAGATTTAGCTTAAGGATGAAATTCTTTAAGAACATCAAAATTAAAACAAAACAAAACCCTACAACTAAATAAATCTTTGTCTTGGGATACTTTGGAAATGATGAAAACCAATGAGCCTCATAGTGTGTCAGATAGGCAGGTTTATTATGTGCTGAGCTGTTCATAGCGTGTGAATAACTGTTGTGCTTGTGTTCTTCCCTATACTTGTTGGGCCTGCATCATCTCAGCCTTGTTTGACTTGTATTCTATGAGCTGATTAGATAGGTTCTCTTGAAGGTACGTGTGCCTTCAAATGCAGACAAGCAAGGCAATGACCTCGTTGCAACATCTATCTGTTACAGACACTTCGGATGTGTATCAAGGAGACAGGAGTGGCACATTTTCAGCACGTAAAAGGCTCTGTCGCCTGCAGTTTGAGAACTCTAGAAAAAAAATGAAAACACCTCAGATCAAACATTTAATTTGGAGTTGGTGTTGAAAGGTGTCTTAGTCATTTAGGACAGCATAACTTCCACTGTTTTCAATTAACCTTTGAAAACCTTGTAAATACCTGCCTACAGTGTGAAACCCATGGCATTTCAATTAATACCCCTTGCAGGTCCTTGTTCAGCTTGGCCAAATCCCAGACCTGAAGAGCAGGAGAAGGAGGGGCTGCTTGTTTTATGCTGAATTCCAAAAACACTTCTGTGAGGTCAAGCTGAAGTAGCAAGACTTTTTTTTTTTTTTTTTTTTTGAGGGCTTTGATTGTGATTAACTTAGTGTTCCCTTCCGTAATGTTTGTTGTTATTCATGGCTATAAACTGGAATGTTTGTAATCAATCATGTAAAATAATTAAGAAAACAATTATCAAGAAAGACTTGTCCCCCAGTGATGGGGTTCTCTAAGCACTCCATGATGCAGAAGACAATTATCTAGCTTGTCGTGAACAACATCCTCTTTGGCTTCTGACTTTGCAAATTAAATGCCTTATTCAGGAAATGGTTGTGGCCATTATACCAAATAACTGGAAAATAAAGTATTCAAGGTCACTTTTGAGGTATCTTACAAAGGGAAGTTGGAGATAGTTGGGGCTTTGTCTCCCACTGGTTATTGTAGCAATGTGAAGCTAAAAAAAGACCAAATGCACCGAGCTCTATGCAACTTGCAGGTTGCACCAGCCAAGCTCCCAGTAGCATCAATATGAAGCACAAGCTGATGAAAAAAACATCGGATAAACACAGGCTCCTTCTTCAAGGTGTTCAGATACTCTGAAAAATGCCATGTACTTATGAATTCAGATGTTGGAAATAGCAAATGTAAAATATTGCTTCTAATGAGGTGCATGAATGGCAGTTGTGTGTTAAATATCAGAGGGATAAAAACTAAATATGGATTTTTTTTTTTTGTTATGTGTAAGCACCGGTTGAGTATGGAAATGTTGTCTGCAATACCAAAAGCCCAAAAATGGAGTAAAAAGGTTTGGGGGTATTCTTAGTTCTGAGTGCTTAAAAGAGACAACATCTCTGCCATGTGCAAGCGGAGATTAATATTAAAGACGCTAAGTTGTGGTTTTAGGGCCAGGATTACCGCCCATCATCTGCACAGTGAGTAGTGTCTTCTAGAACTGTACAGATAGCTTGATGTATGTAGATATACATATAGATAAGCTATATCCAGTGCAGGTCACAGTAGTTGCAACGTGGCTTTGGGAGATATCTGTGACCCCCTCCCAATCACATCTATAGTCGATTTCCTAATCTATAACACTATGAGAAACATCTCTGAATAACAAAGTTGCAAGCACATTATTTTTTATTTATTTATGTGCTTTTTCAAGTGTTCTACAGACTTTCTGAAGTCTGGACCATGGTTAGAGTATTTGCTCTTTTCACTTGTATCAATTATAGACAATGTCTGTCTAATAATTATTCAACTCTGGAGTTTTCAGGAATACAAAAGCATTGATTGTGTTTTCAGAGAAGTAAAAGATGTAAAATCCATTCAAGAAATTTGTCTCGGGCACGTGTGTAGTACAGTAAAGTGAATGAGAAAAACACAGATCTAACATGTTAGAAAAGGTACTAAGTTTTCCTGTCGTTACCTGTTTCCTTTGTGCATGTCTACAGCGCCAGCTCACAGTCTTGGGTTCTAAAAAGATGAAAACAATGTAAAAATGAAACGGATGGTGTTTTCCCTCGGGCTAGTGTCCCTGGAGAGGGCGGCGTGGATGGTGACTGGGTCTGGGGAGGGTGCTGCAGGCGAGAGCCCCGGCCGGCGGGGCTGCGGGGAGAGCCCGCCTGCAGCACCCTGGTCAGCTCCCGGGGCACGGGGCCGGGCCCCCAGCCCTCCCCAGCCAAGGCAGAGGCTTAGCCCTTGGCTTTGGGCGGTGAGGGTTGAAAAGCCTTCTCTTTCCCACCTGTGTTGTGTACGGAGGTCAGTCACTGGGGCAATGGTTACACTGGAGTGTAACTTCCTGGAAAAGGCCAATGGACTGAGAGGAAAAGGTGATAGCTTATAAATGGAGTAACCGTGCAATGGCTGGGATTGTAGGCTGCCTTAATTCTGTGGTCTCTTACGGAGGGGGCAAGAGAGAGGATATACATCTGCTGGCTTCTAAAATGCCACAAATACTCAGAAAAAAAGGAAGAAAATAATATTATTAAGGAAAAGTAGGATAGAAAAGCAGTCGCTTTCATGGAAATAGATTAAGGAGAAGGAACCGAGATCTGCGATGAGGAAGTTGGAGAGAGAGGCAGACTGAGAAATAGCAGTGTAGCAGTGATGAAAAAAGTTATCGAGCAGTTACTTCACATTCCCCAGAGCTGTTAAGAACCAATGAACTTGTGGTGGCAGAGCAGGCTGGAAGCTGTTTGGGATTGTAAGGAGGTGAGGCAAGTCAGTGAGATCAGGAGGAAGTTCAGGTTTCAAGAGAGCCAGACACTGAGCTAGACAGAGCTCTCTGCCTTACTGCTGCACCAGGGCTGAGTACAGCCTTCTGACTCCCTGGAGTTGTGGTGTTTGTGTCATTAGAACGAGTGAGGTAAACCATCAGCACCCTTAGTGTTGGCTTTTAACTGAGGGAAAAATAGTCTTGGCAGTCTACTCTGACCATTGGTGACAATTTGTACATTGTCACCAAATTTATGTACTGCCTGTTTTGCATTTGGGTTAGACACACTGTCTGTGTAGATGATGTCTTCCTGAGTGGTCATTAGTGAATACGGAAGGAACAACTGCAGTGTTGGAGTCATACAAGAAACCATTCAGAGTAATACTGTGTCCATAGGACAGTTGGTCACTTCTTAGTTTGTTTTTTGGATGATTCTTTTCAAGCTGGAGGGTTCAAGTCCTAGCATATGTATGTATGAGACTGTGCCAGCAACCTCTTTTCACTGTACAATGGGACTGTTTTTTCATGCATTCCCTTTCTTTTTTTTTTTCTCAACGTGACACTAAACCACCAGAAGACCCTTCTCCTTATTCCATAAAAGGTTAGTTTGAGATGTAAGTGAGGGAATAGAGTTGGGGATTTCTGTTAAACTCATGTTCTATGTCAGCTGTAGTATTCCTGGAAACATGTCCTCGTGCTTATGTACATGGGTTGAAAAGGTGCCTAGAATGTGAAGTTTCTTGAGCGCAGCAGGTAATGTCAAAACATCAGAGTACTGGCCTTCTCACAAACATTTATCGGGATACATTTGTCTCCTACAACATTTACAGTTTCACTAGTACATCATGTTGTCTTTTTAGTAGGTAATGTAGATACTATCAGTTTCTAAAGTAATGTTTATGATCTGAATACTGCTTTCTGACATAATAACTAATAATCTTGTGTGTTGTGGGTTTTTTTTGGTTTGTTTTTCTTTTATTTTTTGTCATAGGAAGTGGATTTAGAAGAAAGACTTGGTGAGTTGGATCTCAGAAGTGATTCAGATGTTCCTGATGTTCCTCCACCAACAGACACCACTCCAGAAATCCTCAAAAAGGCTTTGTCAGGCTTGTCTGCCAGGTATAGTAAACCAAATAGCTCTCAAATTTAATAGCTGCTGGCTAAAAATAATACGGATTATGTTGCAGTTTTAATTCTTACAGATTGTACTGCAGTTTTAAATTTCATATGATATAAATGAAAATTCAAGAATAAATTCTTGATATCATTGATTTATTTATGCTTTTATAGTCCCTTCACTGTAATACTTTTTGCGTATACCTGAAGATTGCCCGTTGCATACATTTCTAATTAAACCGCTCCAATGTTTAGCTACAGCTTATGTAAACATTTGCCATTGCTCAGTCTAAGCATTGCTATAAAATGGGCTAAAGAATAGTCATTTGGTTTGTTATCCAGAATAACTATTCCTGGGGGTTATAATAAACTGATTTCCTACATCCAAGGTTAAGGGGGGTGGTGGTATTTATGTATAAATGGAAAGGGAAGCAGTGTAAATTTTCTGGGTGAGCTTTTTGTGACAGCGTTTCCACAGCATCACTTTTATTTTTGTACCTTTTTTCTGCTGTCTTTTTTCAAACCTATATTTCTGCCTCCAACCCCTGTTTATAGGAGCTTAAGGACTAGCAAATGTGTGTGTGGGGTGTATGCGTATAGATAGATAATTGTGGGGACTTGCATATTCATGGAAGCTAGCAAATAAAGTTCCTAGGATCGTTTTTTATACAATCCCTTTACAACAGTTGATCAGTCAAACCTTTTGGACGTGGCAATTCACATTACATTTTTTCCACTAATGTAATGAAAGAGCACTTAGGTGTCTGATAGATCACATATGAAAAAACTGCTTTGCAAAATGAATGTGTCTATCACATATACCTTATGCTCAACATAACAGACCAAGCAATATACAATGCATATTTTAGATACAACTTAGGTTTTGCAAGAGTCAGAAGGACCTCCGATCCAGACTACGATTGAAAACTTCCAAGTCCTTGTAAAAAACCTGCTCTCCAGTAGCTGTCTCCAATAGCAGTGTGAAACCACATTTTTTTGAGTTGCTGCTTTTCTAATCTGTTGTCTGTTTCTGTAGTGATCTTTGGGAGCTATAAACAAGCGTACTATTCCCAGATTTCAAAAAGCATGTTTCTAAACTGCACCAGCTGCGAGCAGAATGTGATGTTCTTTATTGCCATCACACTTCAAGGAGTACGTAGTTCTTATCGCTTGCAGAGTTCTCTCGCCATATTAAACGTTGCGGAAGTCTTAGGTCTCCAAAACAGACTTGTTCCAAAGGGCATTTGCGTGGTGATACCTTAAAGCCTGCAACTAAGAGGTGCAGGCGAAACCTTTCCTGCTTCACATGCTTGAAATTCTTTACCTGGAGTGTTTGCACAAAGGTGCTTTGAGTGCAAAACTAAATTCTTGGTGCTTTATGAATGCTAGGTTCAAAATTACCTGTTATTTTAGTACCTGGCAGTCCCACCAGAACTGTTGTCGTAATGCGCAACATGAGTGAGTTGCACTGTAACTCTGAGAAATATTGTTTTTTCTTTCTATCTGGCCTTTAGAGGAAATAGTATCCTTAACTTTCCAGGGAGATACAATAAACTTGTAAGGTGGCTTCCCAGGTTCTGGAGCTTGTTGTCTTACTTACTGAATCTGTCTTTCCAGTGCTGTGCTTGTCAACACCATGAAGATACTATGTGGTGTTTTAACATTATTCTTAAGGGAAGTTTAATTCTTCTAACAGAGTCTTGCTTACTACAGGTATGCCACTAGGAGCAAGCTGCTACTCTATAGCCCCTGTCATAGAGGAACATAAAGCATCTGTTGTGATAAAGCCCGTTGTGCCTTTGTTCTGATACTTAAGGCAAATCCAATTAGTGGCTTTGGCTGCCATTAACCTGCTGATGAATAACATCCTTGAAAATCAAATTAATATAGTTGAAGTTAGCTTAAAACTGGAGTACGCTGCAAAACAAACAGTATCCCTTGAAACAGGTGTATCTCCTGATGCAGCACTGAAACACAAGACTGATACAAAGCAAAACATTAGAAAGAATTTCTTTAAGCTACAGTAGGACTTTTTGTGTTTAGCAGTAACTTGTCATTAGTTGGTTCGGTATACTTTTAGAGGCAAAATTCTTGACAGGAAAAACAGGCAAAAGAGGAGAAAAACTTACTGAAAAGTAATATGAACAATAAAATACAAACTGTTGATAACTAGAAACTTTTTCATGGCAGAGTGGAGCATGTGATGAGTTTATTTAAAATTATTTTTTTTAAATGAACAGGGCTCTTGATTTTTCCTGATACTGGCCTTTGGGGACAGGGGCGGTGAGGGTGTGGGAAATAACATTTTGGTTACTCTAGAAATTACAAACACACACCCCCACCCCACCCCCCAACCTAACAAAGGCTTCTCAGGTGGTTTTGTTGGTTTGTTTGGTTGGGTTTGGTTTTTTTTTGTTAAGAACTATTTTTTATTTTTTTTTCTCAAAGAAGGCATTCTGCACCTCAAATACTGTGTTCGCATTTGGGCTCCTCACTACAGGAAAGACATTGACATTCTGGAGCATGTTCAGAGAAAAGCAGTGAAGCTGGTGAAGGGTCTAGAGCACAAGTCTTATGAGGAGCAGCTGGGGGAACTGGGATTGTTTAGCCTGCAGAAAAGGAGGCTGAGGGGAGACCTTATCGCTCTCTACAACTACCTGAAAGGAGGTTGTAGCAAGGTGGGGGTTGATCTCTTTTCCCAAGTAAAGAGTGATAGGACGAGAGGAAACAGCCTCAAGTTGTGCCAGGGGAGGTTTAGATTGGATATTGGGAGAAATTTCTTCACTGAAAGGGTTGTTGAACATTGGAAGAAGCTGCCCAGGGAAGTGGTTGAGTCACCATTCCTGGAGGTATTCAAAAGACACGTATATGTGGCGCTTAGGGACATGGTTTGGTGGTGGACTTGGCAGTGTTAGGTTGATGGTGTGACTTGATGATCTTAGAGGTCCTTTTCAACCTGCATGATTCTGTGATTGTATGGTAACAGGAATTTCGATTCCACTTTTCCTTAGGTAGCCGCAAGCAGATCCAAAGGTCTACAAGGGCAAAAGAGCACAGCTAGTTTGACCCATCACCCGTCATTGTCAGGTGTTTTCCTGTCCCGGTTCCAGAGCTTACAAAAGCACAGGACTGCTTTCAGTAGATAACCCTCTACCAGGCAAAACAGCTACTTTGTTGCTATGGAAAGTTGGTGATCGCCTGTTTTTTCTGCCTGTGAGTCCTCAAAGAATAGTATACCTGACAGCCGTTCTTATGTATGTAAGGCTTTACATGGCTGGGGCCCCATCAGTCTTGCTGATTGTGTGATGCTTTTTGAGGGCCTTGATGTATTTTCACAGCAGCTTCAATACGGGGTTGATCCATTTAATTGCAAATTATGTTTGGCAGAGGAGCATGGGGGAAAACGAAGGACAGCTAATTTCTTTTACTGTGTATCCTGTTTAGTTGGATAGTTGGTTGATTCTGTGTTTCCTGGTATGTGTTTTACTAAGCATGAAATTTTCTGGAACTCCCACTGTTTCTAATACACTTTAATCTCTAGTTAGTAAAGGAAGTGGTATTTATTTTCATTTATAACTGCTTGCTTTTTATTCTCTTTTTTTAAAAATAGATGGAAAAACTGGTGGATTCGTGGAATTCTCACTCTAGCTATGATTTCTGCATTTTTTCTGATCATATACCTGGGATCATTTATGCTGATGCTACTGGTAAGTTTGTTTAAATACATTCTGCCATGCAAGAGTTACTTGATCTCTTCATTCATTGTTCCTAAGCAGCTGAAAGCAAACTGCACAGACAATTCGGAGCAATTTCTCTCTTATTTGTGTAAATGTAAATACTTTTGAAAAACACTTGACAGATTCACAACTGGGTCTTGTGGATTAAGGGCTTCTTATATGCTGTAATTGATTTTTGGAAGTAGGAATGAAAGTAAATCTAAGAATTTGAATGATTGTTGCCTTGAAGTTTACTATTGTCACCCGTTTCCTTGTTCAGTTCCTATCACCTGCTGCTTCTTTGAAGTTGTTTGGGGTTTTTTTATATATAAAAAAAAACGAAACCAAACGAACAAAAACCCTCAAAAAAACCCCAAAAATGAAGACACAAGAGTTTCATGTTTGAGGCTGAGGAAAGCAGGCAGCTCTGGTCTGCTGTCTGTGACCGACACTGAAAGACTCTTCTCAAGCTTATTCCATTAATTTCCTAGTTCTCTATGGGGCTTCCTTGTGGCCTTGGGTTATCTGTAGAATTGGAGCTAGATCCCATTCCAAGGTATAGAGATAAAGTGCATTTTTTGGTCATGAAATGAAACAATAAGTATTCATACACTGGTCAGCATGCATACCTGGTCAGCCTTTACTGCTTCTTTCCATCATTTTTATTGCTGATATTTTTATTGAATAATGGTTTAACTGTCTTTCTCGGTCATGGCAAGTAAAAGGCAGCAATGTGGCTTCTAAAATAATGAAATTGGTACTTCTGGGTAACTGCATTGATATTTGTCTCTAAGTTTGTCAAACTGTCAAAATGGGCTTTTACTTTTTTCATGGCCTCCTGTGAAACACCTTTGGTGTTCGTAGAATCACGTAGGTTGGAAAGGACCTTTAAGATCATCGAGTCACACCATCAACCTAACACTGCCAAGTCCACCACCAAACCATGTCCCTAAGCGCCACATATACGTGTCTTTTGAATACCTCCAGGAATGGTGACTCAACCACTTCCCTGGGCAGCTTCTTCCAATGCTCAACAACCCTTTCAGTGAAGAAATTTCTCCCAATATCCAATCTAAACCTCCCCTGGCACAACTTGAGGCTGTTTCCTCTCGTCCTATCACTCTTTACTTGGGAAAAGAGATCAACCCCCACCTTGCTACAACCTCCTTTCAGGTAGTTGTAGAGAGCGATAAGGTCTCCCCTCAGCTTCCTCTTCTGCAGGCTAAACAATCCCAGTTCCCCCAGCTGTTCCTCATAAGACTTGTGCTCTAGACCTTTCACCAGCTTCACTGCTTTGCTCTGAACATGCTCCAGAATGTCAATGTCTTTCCTGTAGTGGACCAACACCCCCAGTTCCTTTTCTGCCAAGCGGCTTTCCAGCCACTCTTCCCCAAGCCTGTAGCACTGCATGGGGTTGTTGTGGCCCAAGTGCAGGACCCGGCACTTGGCCTTGTTGAATCTCATACCATTGGCCTCGGCCCATCAATCCAGCCTGTCCAGATCCCTCTGTAGAGCCTTCCTACCCTCAAGCAGATCAACACTCCCACCCAACTTGGTGTTGTCTGCAAACTTACTGAGGGTGCACTTGATTCCCCTTGTCCAGATCATTGATAAAGATATTAAACAGAACTGGCCCCAGTAGTGAGCCCTGGGGAACACCACTTGTGACCAGCCACCAACTGGATTTCACTCCATTCAGCACTACTCTTTGTACCCAGCCATCCAGCCAGTTTTTTGCCCAGCACAGAGTGTACCTGTCCAGGATATGAGCAGCCAGTTTCTCCAGGAGAATGCTCTGGGAAATGGTGTCAAACGCTTTACTGAAGTCCAGGTAAACAGCAGCCACAGCCTTTCTCTCATCCACTAAGCGGGTCACGTTTTCAAGGAGAGCAGGTTATTCCAGCAGGACCTGCCCTTCATGAACCCCCACTGACTGGGCGTGATCACCTGGTTGTCCTGTACGTGCTCTGTGGTGGCACTCAAGATGATCTGCTCCATAACCTTCCCTGGCACTCAGGTCAGAATGACAGGCCTGTAGTTCCCTGGATCCTCTTTCTGACCATTCTTGTAGATAAGCGTCATGTTTGCTAACCTCCAGTCTACTGGTTAGCCAGAACTGCTGAGAAATGATGGAAAGTGGCTTGGTGAGCACTTCCGCCAGCTTCCTCAGTACCCTTGGGTAGATCTCATCAAGCACCATAGCCTTGTGTGTGCCGAAGTGGTGTAAGAGGTCACTAACCATTTCCCCTTGGATTATCAGGGCTTCATTCTCCTCCCTGTCTCTGTCCTCCAGCTTAGGGGGCTGGGTACCCAGGGAACAATTGGTCTTACTATTAAAGACTGAGGCAAACAAGGTATTAGGTACCTCAGCCTTTTCCTTATCCTTTGTTACTATCTTTCCCCTCACATCCAATAAAGGATGGAGCTTCTCTTTAGCTCTCCTTTCATTTCTAATGATATTTATAGAAATGTTTTTTATTGTCTTTTATGGCAGTAGCCAGATTAATTTCTAGTTGGGCTTTGGCCCTTCTAATTTTCTCCCTGCATAACCTCGCAACTTCCTTGTAGTCCTGAGTTGCCTGCACCTTCTTCCAAAGGTTATAAATTCCCTTTTTTTTTTTTTTCCTGTATTGTCTTGAGAGACTGCAATGCTGTTTCAGCAGTATTATGGTCTGCATTATAGTCTCTACATCTGAATTAGTCTGGTTTATATTTCCTGTTTTCAAATGAATGATGTAAAAAACTAGTAATTCATTGTTTCATTGGTGATATTCTTTTTTGTGTGTGAAGAAACAACAGAAAAAAAGCCCCTTTAAAGTGTTGGTCATTGTAGAGAGATTTTTTTTTTTTTTTCCCAATCCTTCTTCTAGTAGTCTGTTACACTTGAGAATAATGATCATAAACAAAAAGGAACTAATCAATTTGCAGCATGATTCAGTATATTTATCGCACACTCTGAGATTGCAATCATGGGCAAAGCTATCAAGAGATGAACCAAAAAGTAATTCAAGTTAGTATAGAACTGGAATAGAGTTCTTGCTCTGCTGTAACATAAAGCAAAAAAAATCTGTCTTCTAATATAATAAACAGCTGATAAAGCTGACATTTGAGACTGTAAAAAGAATAATGGAGGGGAAAAAACAGTTTTGTTCATTAATTATTTCATTTCACTAGAATCAGCTTACATGTAAATGAGTTGTCATGCTAAAACCAAAACTTAACACTGAGACTGAAAATGCCCAGAGACTTGTAGGAAGGGTAATCCAGTGAAGTTTGGAGGACAAGCCCTGAGACTGTTCTAAAAAGTTGAGAGGTGTGTTTTATATTTGCCTGCTACTAAGCTAACAGGCACAAGTTTCCATGACTTTGGACCCCAGTGTCCTTTTCCACTGTAAGGTACAATCCTTTAATGCTGCTCTGTGTACAGCGTTTAAATTTTACAATTTAAAGGAGAAGAAAGAACACGAGATAGGGGAGCTTCAGAAGTAACTCACGTGGTGTATGACTGTTTTAAACTGCGTTCACACATTGAGCAAGATGAAATTTATTCATGAGTGCGGGTGGTAAGAGAATACTGACTGCAAAGCCAACATGCCGACATGCGCAATACTCCTGCCTATGCACAGGATTACTGATGACCTGTGTTTGGCAACACTCAATATCTGGGCAGGGCAATCTGCTTGGTGACTGTGGATTAGACAAAACTGGCAGAGAGTTCTTTGGAGTCCAAAGACTGACAGGACGTACTACCAGACTTGCACGGGCAAGCACTGAAGTAGTGAGATCAGCAAAACAAAATGAAGGCCATGGAGGGTGTGACATTCAGACCTGGGTTAGACAAGCTTTGCTTCTAATAATCAATGCTAATTGCTAATTGCCCTTGATGAGACGCTTGCAAGTGGAAGACCTGGGTGTCCAAGTTGTGTTGCACAGCTAGTTTTTTCCATTAAGCCTAGAAAATGCTTCTTAAACTAAATTTAAACATAAAATAGCCAAAAGAAATAGAAGAGCCTTCTTTGCAGGAAGTACTTTTTACCTGCTGCTGCCAAGCTGTTTAATGAAGAATAGTCAGGAGCTTTCCCTTGTTTCACAAGCTTATTCTTACAGCTAGCTCAATGTGTTTTTTTCTCAGTATGCCTAGTGGCTTTTGGGGGTTGGGCGGGGGGTTAAATGGAGCTTTAGTTTTCCTTGGACTTGCTTTGAAGCGGTCTGTTTTCTGGTGGAATTTGAATTCAGAATGATTTCTCCCCTTAATGCAGGTTGCAGTACTACTTACTTCCTATAAGAAACAACTGCAGCATATTTACATAGTTTTTTATTTCTCTTATTTTAGGTCTTAAGCATCCAAGTGAAGTGTTACCACGAAATCATTACTATAGGTTACAGAGTCTACCACTCATACGATTTACCGTGGTTTAGGTCCCTGAGCTGGTGAGTAGCAAGAAAAGAACATCAATAAGTAGGGATGTCAAACTTAAATTTGCATGTTCTTTGCATCTTGTCATGGTGGAATGATAGCTTTGTAGGTCATTTGTGGACATAAAACTTGACATCTGCCTCTAATACGTAATTCTGTAGTTGTCTCTCACTTGTGAACTTGGACAAGTCAGTTGGCCTTTTACTACTTCAATTTTTCCCTTGTTATGTATATATGTACACATATATGTATGCATGTGTATGTGTTTTAAGTCAGAACAGAGCATGTATAAGCTATGTAAAGATGTGCATAACCAAATAATCACCTGATACATATATTGCCTGAACTGCTTTGGGGTTTTTTTGGTTTTTTGGCTGTTAACCTTCCACAAGAAAATAATTAGAATAGGTACCTTAAAGGCTCCTCTTCACGCACACAGAGAATGAAAATAATAACATACAAGTTTTAAAACCATTCCAGTCGTGCACTTAATCACAGGACTGCATAAATACAGTGTTGGGGGATCTTTTGAAAGCCAAAAGATGTGATTAATTTTTCTGGCAAATTCTGGATACTTGTGACAATGTCCAGCTCATATAGGGCTGGATAGAACTGGGAAAATCAACGCTTCTTCTGAGTTCTGGGAGGAACTTTGGATTAGAGTCAGCGTTATGGGAAGGTGTTGGGCACATGTAGTCTTTAAGGTTCTTAAGGACATGATTCTTCAGACATGACCTATGTTGTGTTGTTTTGGTTTTGTATTGAGTTTGGTTTTTTTAAGGAATTGATATATCTATGTTATTCCCTGTCTATTGTCACGTTGCTTCTTCACTTCTAGAAGTAACTTTACTGCATAATGTGATGGATTCCTGCT